TGCTTGTACCGATCTTGGTTATTTTTAACTTACTGTAACAGTCAGTGCTGAGTGTTGTTCAGCTAACAACTCTTAGTTACTTCTGTTGGCCTAGCTTCTTCTCATTCAAAACCAAGGTGTGGCCATTTAGCTGCCTTATCCGGACTATACTGTATGGTTGCCAACCGGTCGTATAACTATCTACTGACCCAGTACGATTGGTCAACCATGCAGTGGTCGATATAAAATGTCAGCTACCGTTAACCTAACCCTGAACGTAACAACAGGCCTGTGCGAACTTTCCCTGCTAACTAACGCCTGCTAGCTATCGTTAGCTCCTGCTGCCTTGTCAAATAACGCCGGCCATCACTGACAGCGAGTTATAAACTTAACGCTAACAGTCAATTAGCTAACGTTAGCACGCCAGGTAACACAAGTAACTTCAAAACCTTGTGTCGTTTTCACATGATGTTACTTTGTCGAATTTAGAGTGCCATCGTGTGTATATAAATGTGGAAGTTAATGGGTTGACAGTCGAACTACAAAACCATAACCTTAAAAAGCTAACTGTCTCCTAAACTAAAAGGTGGATCGCAGTAAAGCTAATGTTAGCATGTTAGCAAGCATCGTTCGAAAGCGCGAACATGTTTAGCTAACGTCAGCCAACAGATAACGTTACCGAACCAAGGGGGTTATGATCACACATCCTATACATCTAACAGCAAGCGTTAATAACCACTAAACCAACGCGAAATAATTCAATACACCTTTCATAATGTATCAAGCCAGGTGTTAGACAACCTCGATTAACGTAGGAAACATTTTGGTGTTGTTAGCCAACATTAGCATGCTAACGTTGCTAGCGAGTCGTAACGTTAAAGTAGCAGCGCTCTTCACATGAAGGCCCCACGTAACTATTTGTTGTCAAACAGCCCCCACACTGTACATTTTCAGTGCCGGCTTCGAACTGTTATTCGTGTTAAAGTTGCAACACTCACCAGCTGACTTGTAGCTCTTGCCATGGGAGTTTTCCACGAGTATTTATTTGGAATAAAATAATTAGAGAACCTCCAGTAATGGCTGCCTCTGCGCCTTCATTTTCGAGCTGTGACGTCGTTCCACAACAATGTTACCGCAGGACAGCAGAGGAGAGTCCCGCTGTGTCCGCCCCCCTCAACACATTTACAACCTACTGAACTTCATCTTACTCAGAGAAATCCAGCCGCAGTTAGTTGATATTTTAAATAACAGTTAACATTGCATACAGTCTATCTTTGCATGATGTATTGTATCGAGTTATCTACAGGTATTTTTAGAACATTTTAACTCCTTAGCAGAGGTGGGAGAAGGACTTAGATCTATCAGAGTGTAGGAATACTCTGTTACAAGAAAAAGTCCTGCATTCAAAATGTTATTCAAGTAAAAGTACTATAATAAGTTTCAATATATACTTAAAGTACCAAAAGTAAAAGTTCTCATTATGCAGATTGGCCCATTTCAGAATAATATACATTTTGATTATAATTATCGATGCAATAATGTGTGTACCAAAGATAGTGAAGGTGCACCTAGTTTTAATGACTTTGTATGCTGCAGGGTAGCTTGTAAATGTTACTCCAGGTGTAAGTTAAGTCCTTTTTAAATGTTGATTATATTTCACATTATTAATCAATATCTGCAAAGTAACTAAATGTATAAATGCAGTGGAGTAAAAGTACACAATTTACCTCTGAATTCCAGTAGAATTACAAAGTAGCAAAAAAGTGATATACTCAAGTAAAGTACAAGTACCTTACAATTCTACTAAATGTAGTACTTAGTAGTACTTGAGCAAATGTACTTAGTTATTTTACACCACTGCTACTCCGTCTGCGTTTATAAAAACATGTGTATCCAACTGAAACTGTGATCAACATGTATCCCATATAGACCTTATACTAAATGAATTAGCCTGTGTTTACATTCAAACAAACATACCATTTATTTCATATATTTTTTTATTTCATATAAAACTGGTTAGTGCCAAAATCTATTCTATGCATCATATTTGAAAAAGTTATGCCAGTCATTGTATTAGAATAAAAAAGATCCATAGATTAAATATGCTTTATTTTCATGAATTTTATTCAGTTTCTTCCTCTTCATCATCTTCATCATCTTCATGTGACACTGTTCTTGAATCATTCTTGCTTTTTCCTTCTCCATCCTCTTCATCATCTTCATGATGTGACACTGTTCTTGACTCACTCTTGCTTTGTCCTTCTCCATCCTCTTCTTCTTCCTCCTCTGAGCTGTCCGTATCTTCACTAGAATCATCATCTTCAGGGGCACTAAAACAGAAATAAAGAACTTAGTAACCTTACCAATGATAAACAAATTAAACTGGATCAGTAGTGATAAAGGATTTATCATCATATATATCCCAACAAAGTTTGCAAACAGTGTATCTAAGGGATTACCTCACTCTGATAGATGTAAAATTTTTTGGTTTAAATGCTTACCACACACGTCTGTTGAGATTCCCACATACTAATCCAGAGTTAACATCAAATGGATCTGTGAACAAAAAAGATGAATAGCTTTCAATTAGAAGAAAATAGGTTCAACAAGACAGGTCATAACTGAGCAAATGCATCCTTCTTTGTGTACGGGGCAATTTTCTAGACATGCTGGAAACAATTATCCTGGTTTCAGACTTCTGAATCACTGCCCACATCTCTGACTGGTTCAGCTACTCAGATGAATCACAATCAAATCCACAAAGCAACTTCGTCTAATTATTGATGAGTTTAGGAAACAATTCTAGTGTTCAAACATTTGGGGAAAGCAGTCTAGAAACATAGGTCAGATATCATAACATAAAATGTTCTTTATTTTTGTAATTATTTGTTTTATCAAATATAAGAAATATGTTTTATGATTTTCACATCCCAACTGTATGCATGAGACCAATGTTTCCAAATGGTAATTCAGCAGTAGTGCGTCACCATAGAATAGCAAAAATACAGTATATATAAAATAGAATAACATTAATATAAATTAGTTTAGTTCCTCGGATGCAGTTACTCTTTATTCTTTAATTTAAAGCAGAGATTTCACCCAAATAAAATGTAATGGATATGATGTATTGTAAAGCTTAAGCCAAACCAAGACTAAAATAAGGACAGATGTGGGACTAAAACCAAAATGACCCAAACCAACTCTGCTACACACATTTTTAGGGAAACACTGGATGGGACCCCATTTTATTTCTCTCTCCCCCATTTTACCAAAGTCATCCTCCTCTGGTTTAGCGGTGAGAAAGTCTTTTTCCACAGACAGCAGCTCCTCCTCTGACTGGCATGCAGCATAGCGCTCCAGCAGAACTTTATTCAGATCCAGGAACCCTGTCCCCCACTTGAATTTTTCCAACAAAAGCATTGCTAGTTCTTCAAAACCTGTAAAATCAGAAAAAGTTTGTTAGAGTTTCATAGCGGTAACTTTTAACAGTATAAAAAAGTAGTCCGAAAAACCATACAGTACAAAAAAACTAAATCTATGGCCTTACCAACAATGCAGAACGTTGCAGCGAAAGCCTCAACACAGGACAACTTGCAAGGCTTGCCGTAGTTGACGGGGTTTGCAGCTACGAGGTATGGCAGTAACCTGGGATATGTTCCGACCATTTTATTGAAGGGAGTCTCATCCAGTTTAGCCCAGGAACAATCAATCACTGCTAGCCCACTTCGAGCCACAATCTCTCTGTGCATAAAAGTCCATAACAAAGGTTAAATCACTAACAATTGTATTATCAATGGATCATAATAAAGACAAATAATGAAACACAAATAATGGTCATTAATATAACTAAAAAATGTATTAATTATGTTTTCACTATGCTATTAAATAACACAAAAAGTGTAAACAGTTTACATTTACAACCTGGATCTTAACATTTAAACAGGCTAAAATACATAAAAATATTATTATGATTAGACTAACTGTTATATGTAGCATCTTATGGCTTTTCTTATGAATCATCATGATGTGTTATAATGATTTTTAAAAATGCACACCTGTCTGCTGGGGTCACATACTTTGTGCCCATTGGACTCAGTATGAGTCCATTGAATCTCTGGTTGAGGCGCAGGGTTCGTACGAAGCCCTTGCGTACCAACTTTCTTCCGGTACAGCGCTTGGGATCACAGTGACCCAAATCCCACATGGCAAGTGGACAAGGCAGTTTAACCTGAGGGGCATCTGCTCCCTTCTCTACGTGATGACTTGCTGAAAAACACAGTGACAGAGGATAAAGTGTCATTAAGATGCAGTGTGATCACTCTTACCTAACTCAATGACAGTGATGGACAACCAGTGTATTACTATTTACTTACTAGATATTATAATTGCAAACTTTTAAAAGGGGTGTTTTCCTATTTTACATTTGTCTTTAATATTAACTTTTCAAACTGGATAACCATTGTACATTGGGAAATCTTAGTATTGTAGCACACATGTAAAATATGAGGCAAGCAACATACAGTTAAAACATAATTTTGTAATATGAATAGTTCAATAATTACCGTCAAAAGCAGTGTGCATTTCTTCTGTAAAGGTCTCCAAGGTTTTTCCTTTCATCTTATGCCTTTTTTCTTTGCCTCTGTTTTCAGATGTGCGCACAGGCTTGCCCTGTTTCTTTTTCCCCATGTTGCAACTAGTGGACAGCTAAATTAGTAAATTACTGTCAGATAACAGCCTCCATTTAACTAACCTGAATCTGTTTACTCTGACATTAGCTAACTAGCTACCTAGCTATTCCACTGGCACCAGTTTGTCTAATTTATGTAGCAAAAAGTAAACGTTTTGTATTTTAACTGCGTGTAAACCATTCACACGTTAAAGCAAATCTTCGAAATACAACTGGTATAAACCTGAACTTATTTTTACACCATTTAAAATAAAGTTTAGTTAGCTACAGCTACTCATACAAAGCATGTCGTATTACAGTCCATCATCGCGCATGCGCAAAGCTTGTTTTGATCACGTGGTCTGTCATCTGACCAGCGAACACCAAAGTAGGAAATGTAGAAAGCAACACGATAGCACATTTTAGTCAGTAAAATAACAACCATGCACTGTTTGTGTAACGGAATACATGCTTTATTAAGGATTTTGGTGGTCTGTGCGTCTCTTTTCAGTAAGTACTTTATCGATCCGCTGAATCTAAGTTGTTTTATTTTAGTAATACCTAACCATATGCGCTGTATTGCTGGTGGGATGGTGTGTCTGATGTCGACCTGTTTTTCTACACAGTTAACCATGGATTGGCCGGTAAAATGAAGATAGTGGAGGAGCCAAACACTTTTGGGTAAGTCAATTAAAAACACATCTATCCCATTGTGCACCTTGTTTAATTTAGCCCCTTTATAACTGATATTTGCTGTGTTTCTCTTTAGGTTGAACAATCCTTTTCTGTCTCAGGGAAGCAGACTACAGCCTAAAGTGACCCCATGTCCAGTGTCTGGTATAATAATTTGACATTATTTGAAGCCTACATTTTATTTAATCCTGTGTGTGATTACATGTTGTAAAGTAAAGGATCAAATATTAGATGTTGACATCTAATCAAGATGTTTTCTGTTGATCTACTACTCTATCAGACTGAATTCATTTACCATATTTTTATACATATCTTCCTTAAGGCCCTGCACATTTTCATCAGCTCGCTGGAAAGTGCTTCATTTATACAGAGTCAACGTAAGTAATTTACATCCAAAACAAACCGCCTTTCTGCTGGTTCTGTACAAGGACCCAGCTTCAAATACAAAACAATAACACTGTATTTGTGTGTTTGGTTATTTTGCAGGTATAAATATGAATTCTGTCCATTTCACAACATCACCCAACATGAGCAGTCATTTAGATGGAATGCTTACAGTGGGATACTCGGGTAAGATACGCTTCCCTTACACACCCGTTTACCTTAATAGGGAATATCAATATTTGAATTACTCATGACTTTTGCATGTGCGTTACAGGATCTGGCAGGAGTGGGAAATGGTAAACAACTCTTTCACAGGCATGTGGATGAGAGATGGGGATACCTGTGGAACGAGAAACAGGGAAACAAAGGTTAGTGGGGCTAAAACTGTTTAAACTCTTTCTGGTTGTCATTTAACAGAATAAGGAGCTCCCACTGACTTCTCCTATGTCTGTGTTTCTTCTTAAATATAACACCAATTAAGTAAACCTTTAGGAAATAATAAACCTTAATAACCTAATAAATACATTTGTTAAAAGACTACTTTACCCACAATATGAACACGTGTTTTGTTTTTACACTCCTTCCTAATCGGCCAAATCTTTCATTTATATATGAACTCAAATTCATTGTAACAATTAATCCACAATAAATACATAAAATGTGTCTTATAAATAATTTCTCTTCATGTTTTTGTAGGTGATTTTTGTCTGCAGTGAAAGCAGCAAGCTCTCTCAAGTCTCAGAGCCCAGTACCTGTGTGTACTCGCTCACATTTGAGACCCCACTTGTTTGCCATCCACATTCGCTTTTAGGTAAGACAAAATAAATATCTGACACCGCAAGTCAGTGTAATTAATAGTGATATATAATCATATTTATGCTCTTTTTTTAGTGTACCCAACACTGAGTGAAACGCTCCAAAAAGAATGGGATGAGGCTGAGCAGGCTCGCTATGAAGGACTCATTACGGAGCAGGTAAGAAACTGTTAGGCTGATCACTTGCAAGCTTAAGAAGGGCATTAAGGGTTCCCAAAGTGATTCTAACACATACATATATATCTTGTTACCATTCGAATCAAGTTGTTGTCATATTTTCTTGAAACTGACACACAATGTCTGTTTGATGCAGGGATACAACAACCTTTTAAAGGATATTTTTGAGGATGCCGGTCTCCTGAAGAGCCAAAAGGTGAAGATGAAGCTACCAGAAGTTGTCGCTGATTCAGGAACACACAACTCCTTACAGAAATGTACAGAGGTGAGTACATTTGTTTTCTCGCAAAATAGATAGATTATAACAATACTGTTTCAAATGTGACAGAAAATCTATATTTCCTTAATGTTTCATACAGGATCTCGAAAAACAGCGAGAAGAGGTTAAAAGATTGCGCTCTCTCCTCACTCAACACAACATTCCCTTTTATTCAGCGCAAAGTAAGTGAATTCAACCAGCCTGTCTTAACTACTTTAAGTGTTATACAGTGTCAATACCCCGGAATAATTCAGAAATATCTTTGCTTTACGCAGCACATGACCCAAAAGGCCCACCAAGTACAACAGTAAAGGAGCAACACCCACGAGGAGACCAAGGCCTTCTTGATCAGCTGTGATAAATCTCCCAGAGCAAGTCACCTTCTCCATTTAAAGCACCCGATTGGAGATTTTTTGTTATCAATGCAAGCAACACAGACAGTTGTTGGACAATGTTGCCGTCACTGCTGAAAGGATTAGATAGTGACGCTGAGAAAAACTAAACTCATTTATGTGTTACATACTTCTGACTTTAGCAGATTCTTTTTTTTTTTTTTTTTTTAGGAGTAATGACCCTCAGCTGGATCTCTCGAGGACTTTTCATCAGTCTTGTTAATGAAGGAAATTCTGTCAACATGCAGCATATTGAGAAATAAACTTTTTTTTTAACAAAGTTTTGAGAGAAGAGAAAAATTGAGTCTTTGAAAACTCTTGCAGGTAAATATTTGTATTCTGTACTGTACTTTGTGGTTACTGCATACAGAAACTGGATGTCCTGCTCCAGGTAGAAGGTACATCAGAAAACATCTATAACAGGATAAATGAACAGGACATTAAGCATTTTATTAAATAACTTAAATGTGTGTCAGACCAAAAGACAAGAGTAATGGTAAAAAAAAAACTTGAAAGAAATAAGCATATGGTGATATTTTTGTGTGTGTCTTGATACAGTGAGAGGAACTTATTTAAATGTCTTTGAATATTAAATGTACTGTATTTGGATGCATTTCTAATAATACAGGAAGTGATGTCAACAGCTTAAAATTACAAAGAGATTCTGTTTCCTTCCTAAAATTAAGAGTCAAAACTCTTAAGTGTGTGTGTAGTGCAAGACGCCACTGCTTCTCCTACACCTACTGTACATCTGTTGAGGGCAGACTGTATGTGAATTGCAGGGAAAACAGAGTCTACACAAATGAGTAGTTAAACACACACGTAATGTATTATTATGTATTGAACATGGACTACAGGGCTCCAAAACATATGTATCATGCTTATACCTCGAGTGGATGAGAAAGTTATTCTCATCAGTGACTTCACAGATTATGGACCTGACACGTATAAACATGTCTCGACTACAAACATTCCTGAGACTTCTTACTCTCATCTTTCCGTTGCATCCTTAGGGGGGTTTAAATCTCTACTCATCTGTCCACAACGGTGCAAAAAGCTATTTGTAAGAAAAATAAACTTGAGAATGTTATACTATATGAAAGCATTTGGGTGAGGCAATGACACACACGCAAGGAATGTCAAATGAGGAAAGAAAGGTTAACCTAGATAGATTGAACATTGTAATGATTAAGTGTTATTGGGTCAAAATGCATCTTTTCCTTAAAAGGGCTGGTGCAGAAACAACAGGTTTTAGCTTGATAATCAGGGGTCATTCAGTCCACTGACCCACAAACATGCTTCAGTCTTTTTCTTGTGGAGTTCATGTGTGATGGTGGAGGGTTATGAGAGCAGCTGGATGACTTCTCTGGCTCTGTGTGCCCTCTGCTGGACATCTTTGTCCTCTGGTGCCTGTCCCGACTCTTCGACCAGCACCAAGGCCTTCTTCACCGTCGTGTCTTTGGCTGCTCCTTGGAGCCCCTCCAGGTACTCCAGCAGCACGGAGAACTTCTCATCTGGAACCTGAGAGAGAGTTATTTATGATTATGAATCCTGTTGTCTGTCTATTAGTTCAAATATTATATTTTTTAAAGAAAGTAGTGGTTGAAAAATAAATATTTAATAATGTAATGTACACTAAATGGAAGAATCTTATTTTAAAGAAAGAAGGTAAAAAGGTATTTAGGTAACAGAAAAACATTTCTAATGATCCTTCTGTTAGATGTGATATTTTATTTGTTTTATGTCCTATATATTTATATATATTCATGTTGCACAGTTGGAGGAGCCTGTGACTTAAGTTTGTCATTGCCATATCTACACTGTAGCTAATGTGCATATGGCAATAAAGCCTTGAATCTTACATTTGTGAAATTAATGTCATAAGAAATTAATCATTTTATTTCCCCTTTTGAAAACTGAGACTGATGCCCTGTAGTGTTTTCTATTTATGCCTGTCTTTCTTCCTGGGACTTTGGGCACAAACAGCTCATTATATTTGACAGTGGGTGTAACTCACAAACAAATCAAACAGGAAGACCTCGCTCTAAACTGCTAGAAATCCCCCATCATCACCACGCCGTTTTATTTTACCTGTTCGGAGTTAAACATGTGCTGCAGTAACCACGTCTGCCTGATCTTCTGGAACTTCCACTCCGCACGGTTTTCAGACCAGCTGCAAAAGACAAAACCAGAGCGAGTTGAGTTACGAGAAAGGTGTTGGCTTTTGTTACCACAGTTCGTAGCATGTGTTATTATACTGGGTTGCTTCATAGTGTTTACTTTGTGCTGTCCTTGCATATGCAAAACAATTGGAAGAACCCTGACCTTAAAACCTGCTCCAGAAATGTACTGTTGCATTATCGTATCACAAAAGACAGATAAGACAAAGACTAGTCAAAACCAAAGTGGTAAAGGGTGAGCTAGCCTGAGTTTAAGTCCCTGATTTGGGTCAATCTCAACCAAACTGAATCATACACCTCCCACAATGCAAGATCTTTCATAAACCCTGCCTCTCTGGTGAACACCATCTTTTAAAGTTAATGCATACAGTTTGCCACAAAGGCTTTTTGTTTTACATCTCAATCCAAAATAAGACTTCAGGGATTGTTGTTTTTCTTCCAGTCTTTAAAAAGCTTTTTCATATTTTTGTTATTACTCCTTATGACTAGTATGCTGAACTTTGTGTGTGATTTCCATTTAAAATCATACATTCACCACGAACAACACCCACAACATAGACAAAAGGTCACACTTCTGACAGCTTCTTACCATGAGTAATGTACATTATTAAAGTGGTATTTCTCTTGAGATGCTGTATTGAATTACATTTCTTTGTTGATTACATGTGATTTTGCTGTGAAATGTAACAGATATACTTCATATTTGGTACCATCAGCACTAAATAAAGGGTTTAAAAGGATGGTTTTCAAAGCTTTTTTTGTCTTGTGGATCAATATCATAGCTTAAATACCATAAAAATAAATGTTAACACTATATATGTGAATTGTTTTTGAGCCATCTTCTCCGGGCTTTCTGGTAAAGAGGATACATGGACTGATCGTTTTCTATTTGACATTATGCACCTAAATAAGAGCAGCTCTTACCAGGTGAGGTAAACTAAGGCCTGCTGAGGACCAGTGGGTCCAGATGCTGCTTCAGTTTTCGGTACGGTCTCTCCCTCAGCTTTAATCCGCTTTTTTTCCTCCTTTTTCATGACCTTCTTCATCTTCCTCTCCATGACCCTCTTCTGCTCGGGGCTCAGGTCCTCCTCTCCCTCCAGCTCATTGGGCGGATCAGGAATCTGTCGAGGCAAAACAAAGGCTCATGGGAGTTATCTACATTAACAGACCTTCCTTTTTAGACCCTTAGGGAGGCTGTGGCTCAGTGGATAGTGTGCTGGACTTCGAATTAGGGGATAGCAAGTTCGAGTCCCACTGCAGTCAGCATGTCGTTGTGTCCCTGAGACACTTCACCCCAAATTGCTCCTGTGGGGATTGTCCACAGTATTGAATGTATGTAAGTCGCTTTGGATAAAAGCGTCTAACAAATGACATGTAATGTAATGTTATCATTTTCTGCATTTGTGTAAAGCAAAATGAAACAACCCTAAATAACATGCGCGGTGATTGACTGATAAGAAGAAATGTCAGAACAATAATTCTACTTTTGTGTACTGAACAGCCATTTCCTGCCAACTTTCAGTATTGGTCAGTTTTCTGGACTAATGCCTGAAGCATGACATATCTGAAATTGTATTTCTACAGTAAAATGTAAAAATAAATTAGACATTTTGTTTTGCTAAGGCATATTGACAAGTGAAAGCTAAAGCGCTGTTTGAGTCTGAATCACTTCCTGTTGCGCTGCAGGTCAGAGGGCTGTTTCCTGTGTCTGCAGCCTGACATCACACACATTTACCCTGTGGTGTGCAACATCCCGCTACCGCTGCATGCAAAGCACGCACTTGCACTGTATAAAAATAAACATGAGTGTGAAGCGTGTGAGAAAAATATATTTCAATTTCCTCACTGCTAAACTTTTTTTTTTGCAACAATATCACAAAGGAAAATAAATATGATCTAAATTTGAAACAAGTTAAATGCATTATCTAGCTCCTCATTTGTCTGCAGAATGATTGATGCTCTGCAAATTATGCTAAACTTAACCTAAAGAAAAATAAAGAGACCAAATTAAAGTCATTTTACTGCAGTAGCCAGTACCGACAGCACAGTTTAAAGACTGCGTTTAAGTCTCAGAGGAAGTTAAACAAGGGGCACAGTATGCTCTGATTTAACGGACCTCAGTTTGCACGGTGATGAAAAAAAAAAAAAAAGAGGGAGGGGAGGTAAGATTTGATCACATGGCCACGAAGTCATTCTGAAAGTATGCTATCGAGGTATCACCCAAAAGAAATATAAAAAGTCCTTCACGGTGAGCAGCTGTGTCCGACCAACGAGCATCTTTTTCAGAGCTTTGAGTGGAACAGCGGGGCCGGTGGAGACAAAACAGAAGACGAGGCGGTGACGGAAGCAAAAATGGTAAGTGGAAACATGTGTTGTTACAGAGCAGACGGTTACTTAGAGGGGGAGCAGACAAAGACTCGCTAACTCAAACATGTGGTCGTAGAAAAGAGTTTAGAAGGGAAACTTTTTACTAAATCTAGTCATCTATAATAAATCACTATCAGTGTAGCTCTTATTTTATGTGATTTAGGATGGAAATGCCCTGCTGTATGTTGTAAGAGTTCCTGTGAAGAACTCATTTAATGATTCATAGGCAGATACATTGTATTCACTTCTATAAAAACAGAAGTGGTAGAACTAAATGTATTTCACTTGTTTTGCACAAAAAAAACCCATCTGGACTGGTTATAAATACTAAGTAGCCAAATGATCTGAACTTTGCAGATAGTTCTCTAGATTTATTTTCTCCCCCGATGGGAGGAACTGCTTGACAAACAGTGGAGGGTGATGCTGAAGAGCACAGGATGTCATCACTGGGTGTTTTCTCTTTTCATTTCCAGTCTAACCAAAGCGAGGTTTTGGTCCAAACCGGGATGAACACCACACCTCCGGTTTTCAACACCATCCTGAACACCTCCACTTCGACAGTCTTCCCTTATGACTTAGACAAAATTGCAGCCCAAGACATAACCTCCAGGGCGAACTATATCTACAGCTTCCTGGCGGCACTGGGTTTCGTGGCGGGCTGCTTCCTGTTCTACAGCTTCATCCAGACGTACAGAGCGCTGAAACGGCTGGCCTGGCTCAACCGTCTGCTCTGGGCCTTCTGTGGCCTCCAGCTGCTGCTTCTGCTCCTCTCTCTGCACGTCGTGGTGCACATTCCTCGCTACCTGCACACCACAGGTTTGGGCTGTGCTGCTCTCTCCTTCACCATAAACACAGTCTCTCTCTGCAGCCTGTTCGTTTTGGTGCTCATGGCTTACGTCCTGACCCTGGATCCTCCGTCCCACGCCCTGCTGAGGAAGCCTTGGGTCTGCGGGGCTTTGGTGAGCCTGACTTCTTTTCTTATTGCTCTGATGCTGGCTGGGCTTCGCGGACCCAGAGAGGGTATGCAGGTAAAAGATAAGTGTTTTATGGATCCAGTCAGTGCTGGTGTCTCATATGCCTCCGCGAGGTTGAGCCTGGCTTTTTTGATTCCCTACCTCCTCCAGCTGGGACTTCTCATGGCTGGCTGCGTCCGGCAGTGGAAATCCAGAAGACGTTTCCTCTCCGGCTCCGAGGAGGGTCCTGTGTTCCTGACGGTCACCGTGGTCATGTTTTTCTGCCAGCTCTTCTACAGCGTGGTGCTGGTGAGAGGAGCACAACTCGCTCAGCTAAAGAAGGAGGGGCTGAGCTACCACGAGCAAGCGTTTCTGAGGGTGGCCGAGTTTGTGTTGTTCTCAGGGAGCAGCGCCAGCCTCCTGATCGTGCTGCTCATGCACCGGCCGTGCAGAGAGAGTCTCCACGGAGCGCTGAGGCAGCTGAGGGACTGCTGCAGGAGCCCAGGGGCCTCGCAGACCAACAGGAACATCATAGCCCCCCACATCGAGATCACAGACACGCTACAGGATATAGAGTGATAGAGGACAAAACTCTCTATATGACAACAAACTCTGCTGATGCATCAACAAACTTTTGGAATCTGATGTTTAAGACATATTTAATCTATCTTTAAAATGTTTTTGTTTCTTAAATGACAATTTTAATGTTTTACATGCATGTTTTTCTCTTTTTTAGCTTCCAACTATTTCTTAATTTCCATTTTTGTACTATTTTATTTAAAACCTTTGGTGCACATATTCCAAATTGTGCAACATGTACTTAGTCCTCAGTGCTAAGTCACTGTTGCAAAAATGAAAATATGTTTATAAAGTTGTTGTAATAACTGAATGAAACCATTAAAAGGACTGACTGTTGGTTGTATTAGCAATTTTATATTTTGTTAACCTGCTTTTGACACGACACGAAAACAGACTGTTTGCATAAACACGTCTTGCACAAAAGCCCATTTACTCAAACTGCCTGGAAAAACCTCTCAGTTTCCCAGAATGCAACATAGGAAAACATTTCCTCCAGGAAAATAAAAGTCAGGTTTTAAGTTTCGTTCAACAGTGTCAATACTCTCCATGTACTTATTTCTGAAGCTGTTAAAAAAACAAAACAAGCCAGTCGAAGTGAAACTCTGAACTTTACGGCTCATTTCATGAAATATATGGGCACGAGTTCTAGGAATAACTGAGCTGCACGGATCACATATTGCAGTGGTGCCAACACACAGTGGCGTTAAACGAGGGACCAGTAGGAAACTTAAGACATGGGCTTGGTTGCATATGATGCTGGCGCTAGGGTTGCAAAATTCCGGGAATTTTCAAAGATGGAAACTTTCCACGGGAATTAACGGGAATAAACTGGGAATTTTCAAAATTGAAGTTTGGCTCTTCATAGGGAACTTAAATATAGTTGGGGAAAGTATATTTTAGCATAATCTTGACTAAAACAAACAGATGCCATTCAAGTACACTTGAATATCCATGCCATAGCACACTGCTTACTGCATGGCTATTGAGACCACACAAAGGTTCGCAACAGGCTCACAAATGTGAGAGTGGAAAAACTGGTTGGCATTCGGGCAAACCTAAGGCTCTTTGAGCCTGACACAGAGCCATCCTCAACAAGGCTGGACAGTGACACTGAAGAGGAAGACTCAGAGTTGGATGTTGATGAGGCCCAGGAAGAGCCTGTTGACTGAAAGGGTTTAGCAAAAATGCAGAGGATTGCTTGAAGGAAGATTTGCATGTTTAATGGGACTGTTTGGAGGGAGAGGGGCTCTTTTCATTTAACATTTTGAATGGGACTTTGTGGGGATTTTTGGATGGGGGTGCATTTTTGTTCATTTTTTAATGAGTGGGGTTGGGGGGGATGAGTAACATTTAACTCAACATTCCCGTTTTCGTTCTTCAATGACACAAATAATTGTTCAATAAAATAATTAAAACTTGTTTTGTTCTACTTAAAATTTTTTTTTTAAAGAAAATCTGTTGAAATGTCATGTCGAATATTTCCAAAATTCCCCAGCTTAACTTCCCATGGAAACTTTCCGCCCCTTTGCAACCCTAGCTGGCGCCACATTTAGTTTCAGATCTGATTCACACTGTGTTAAATCACAAAAGCAGCCATTTCAGGCAAAGATCTATCATGCCATAGGTCAATCACAAAAATATGTAATGTAAAATATGAAGTAGCAAATCTTCTACATTCAACATTGTTCTTATCTTTAATAAGTCGTTGTGTTTTAAGGAGTCAAAAGAAACAATGGAGTAAGACTAGCCTGCCTGTCCTTCTTCTTGTTTTGTGTAAATATAAACTGTTGTTCTCTTTGCCAGGAATCCCCAGACTCCCATATTTACATATTGTAACATAATACAATCATAGTCATGTACACAATTTGGTATAAGTCTCGACAAGTGTCCTAACCTAACATAATTATGTATGCATATGAGAAGTATGAACAGAAATACACCGGGTTTATTCATTGTTTGTGACTTATGCTGTATAACAAACAAAAGCAAGGACGAAAAAAAGAGTTCTGTGTTTTACCCAAAAGATACTGTGAGGTGTGTGTGTGCGCGTGTGTGTGTGTGTGTGTGTGTGTGTGTGTGTGTGTGTGTGTGTTTCTTGCTGTAAGTGGTGGGTGGTACCACAACACTTCTCTGGATTCACTGTGACACCTGCTTTCAAAGTCACCACCGTATGGACAGGGAGGATTAGAAAAACTGAAATGCAGTGCACGAAAACCAAGGTAGGTTCCTTAAAAAAAAATATATAAATCAAATATAATTTATATTGAAGCCAACTGACTTTTTCTGTCTTACAGTTTTCTGCATCTAGTTAAATTATGTACAGTAGATTTGCTTCAACTAGCTGTAGCACAACTCTTGAAAGTTTTAAGCTTTTTTTGAAGTATTTATTATTTAATTGATAGAGAAAAACATCCCAGTTTTGCAATGTTTTATCAAAAGAAGGATACTCTGAATCTTCACGCAAATTTGATATTTCTTGCGTCCTGAAAGCCTATTAATTCACACTAGGGCTGTGTAACATAGCAAAATCTTCTGTCCTCGATATGCATTCAAATATGCCATGTTTTCTGGTAATTCAGTTCATAAATTGACTATACAGTATGAATAAACCACAGGAAATCATTTTCTGTGTGAATTAAATAATTGACATATGTAAAGTAAATTCTCATTTAATCAAGAACTCGATTGCAAGAATTACAGTTTTAAATAAAATAGTATAAAATTAAGTATATGAATTTCCAGCTATTACATGACATACATATACTATGTGTACATGGATGGACTCAAAAACAAGGTTGTACAAATGTATTTCTCATCAAATCTTATGAGAAACTTACATTTGTATGCACTTGTTATTGTTTTAGAAAGCGTACTTGTGTATCACGATATCTCGACATATGAATTCATCTCGATAAGATTCCATTTGAATAGGATAAATAATCATATAGATCGTAAAGCAGCCCAAATTCTCAATACATCTAATTCTTAAGGAAATGAAAACATTGACTTACTGCATTTCTCCTCTCTGTCTAGAACAAAGAGCGGCCATCATTACACTTTCAAAAGGACCACGACGCCGAAAGAGGAAACAGATGACACCACAATCTCCACTGGGGCTAATACCTTGGAAAACTACTGCTAACACCAGATCGCCACAACAGTGCAATAAATAATATGGACACAACGATGTACGTGGATAATATCGTCTTTCCTGCTCAAATAAATGACTCAAATGCAGTCATCTCTGATTTCCTGCTGGCAGAAAATCCTCAGCGTTACATTATCAGCCTCTTCCTCTCCAGCCTCTACATTATATTCCTGTTCCCTGTTGGCTTCATCGGGAACATCCTCATCTTAGTGGTCAACCTGTACGACAGGGGCCGCCTCTCAGCCCCGGACCTCTACTTTGTGAACCTGGCCGTGGCCGACCTGCTCCTCGTTGCTGACTCTCTGATCGAGGTGTTCAACCTGAAGCGGGGCTACTACGACCGGCCGGGCCTCTGCACCTTTATGAACCTCTTCCAGCAGGGCAACATGTACAGCAGCGTCTTCTTCCTCACCTGGATGAGCTTTGACCGCTTTGTCGCTCTGACCGGCTCCATGGGTCACAGCATGCCTCATCCCCGCCTCAGCTGCTGCCTCATCTGGGTCTCCTCCTCTCTGCTCACCGTGCTTCCTTTTGCCATAGCTCAAAGGCAGCATGCAGGAGAACTCCACTTCTGCTTTGCAAATGTATCGCAGATTCAGTGGCTGGAGGTGATGCTGGGTTTCCTGCTTCCTTTCTGCATCTTGGGTCTGTGCTACTGGAGAATAGCACAGGTGCTCGGGCAGAGTCAGAAGGTGCAGGGCGGCCCCCAGCCGAGGCCTCGCAGGCAGAAAGCTCTGAGGATGATCTCAGCAGCCGTGTTGGTGTTCTTCCTCTGCTGGCTCCCGGAGAACGTGTTTGTTAGTGTTCAACTTCTGAGAGGGGGAGCAGACGGCGGCACGCTGTGGCAGGACTACCCTCTGACTGGTCACGCTGTCAGACTCGCTGCGTTTTCTAACAGCTGCCTGAACCCGCTCATCTACAACTTCCTCGGGGAGACATTTCGGGATAAACTGAGGAGAAGATTCACGCTACGCAGGTCAGCCTCAAGAAAATCTCTCCGTGCGGCCACGCAACCTGCTGCAGCAGAGTTTCCGTTAGAATTTGTTTTTGTCGGTCAACATGTCCGTTAACGTTGAAATCTTCCGGACAAAATGAGAAAAGTGCCGGTCAAAGGTCTTCGTTATTTATTGAGCTTTAAAACAAATTGATATGATTCGATATTAAACAAACTAATTATAGTAGATTAACTACATTATTTAAAAGTGTACAGTAACTTATAATAACACGGGAATAATAAATGGAGCGCTCTCTCTCTCTCCTGGCGGCCCGTCAGTATCATGCAACTCGCGGATCCAGTAATGAGTGACCCGAAATAAACATATCTATAACTAGTTTAGGTAGTTTGAGAGGTAGCCTAATTAAAATAGCTAAGTGTGATTTTCTAACCTGAAGTGTGTGTTTTGTTCTGCTCACCGCTGCAGGGGATCATGCAGAGCTGCGTGTCGACTCGTCAGCAGCAGCTGATCTCTCTCTCCCGTCAGATTAGACTTCACTCGCGTTTATGTCCATATCGATCCGATCTAGCTAGTTCTAGCTAATGATATGACTACCTGCTTATCAAGACACCTAAACAATAAGCGTCGCTATGCAACCGGGTGAGGCCGCAAAGTATAGCGCAGCATTATGCATTTGTTTACATGCCCACCGGAACCCCGAGGCATTACCAACAGATCAACGCACAATCCACCCATACAGGACATCTCTTTCTCCACATTAAATGTTAGACATTAGAATTGACTATTCTTGTCTGTCACATAAGTGGCGCAACTGATGCGGTATTGTGCCAAGGGGAAATTATTTTGACCGGAGAGATTTAGATTTGCCGCTCTTCAGAATATTTTACTGGTCAAAGTCCGGTAATTACCGGCTAACGGAAACTCTGTGCTGCAGATCCAACCAGTCTGCACATTCAGGCTCAAACATCCTTCCACAAACTGGGCTACTCCAACAAAATAAATAATGCCATCAGTGTAAAGACATCAATAATGGAGAATGTGAGAGAAAGGACTCCAATGGCTGTGGAACTGTTTGTGTTGAATCAGTTATTTAAAAACAATAAAAGGCCAAATAGACAAAAAAAACTATGGAAATTCCTTAAAAGTGACACCTTCATGGCAATAAACCGGATTCTGACCAAATAAAACTTCTGAACAGTGAACAATGAAGGAATCCTAACCAGGAAAAGCTGACAACAACACAAGGGATGTAGCAAGCATCCAACCAATCTTTGCCATTATAAATGAATTTAGTAATAAAACTGTTTTTCCTCTCACTAACAACTGTCTTCCAAACATGTCTTAGATGCTGTGCATTTTGTTGTTTAGCACCATTACACATCTGTTTTTTGAAGACTGTATCATTTCCAGCACAAGTAACATTTTCTGTATGAACCCACACAAGTAAGCAGTCAAAATTCACCTGAATACTCACAAAAACAGGAGGAAACAAATGGAAAACACACATACCTCACTTTGTTCGGTCTGTTCTTTCTTTTTGTGTTTCTTTTCCTTTTTGTGCTTTTTATCTTCTGCTGTGATGGCCACAACCTGTACTGGAGCCTCCTGAAATAAAATATATTTTTATTTGAGCAATATCAGTTATTGTCATATAAAACAGGTACGACTGTTTGCCATTATAAATACAACTCAATTGTACAAATACTATATAACCTCTCACTAACAGATTTATCAAACACGTGACTTAGATGCTGTACATTTTGTTGTTTAGACCCTTTAAACATCTATATTTAGAAGACTGTATCATTGCTAGCACAAGTAAAGAGGTTTATGTATGAACCCACCCAAGTATACAGTAAAACATCACCTGAATACTCACAAAACGGGAGGAAACAAATGGAAAACACGTACCTCAATTTGTTCTGTCTTTTGTTTCTTTTTGTGTTTCTTTTCCTTTTTCAGTTTTGTATCATCTGCTGTGATTGACACAATCTGTACCGGGGCCTCCTGACATAAATAAACAATCATTGTTTATATAGGAGCAATTTCAGACAGTGACCTCCAAAAAAAGGCACAGCTACAATGACTGCTGTAGTGCTCACCTCAACTTCCATCTTCTTCTTCTTCTTTTTGACTTTAGTGTCCATTATTTCTTCCTCATGAACCTCGCTGACATCTGAATTCAGCTTCTTCCTTTTAGACGGACTTGTCTTGTCTTTAACCATTATATAAATGTTCTTCTGTAAAAACAAAAACATGAGCATGTTACTACACAACAGAACACATACATTGAACTACGTTGTTGGCATTAGTGACAGACAACATAAACAGAGACTGAGAAAGATGAGGGCTTTTGCATGCCTAATTTGCTGTGATAAACATAACCTGAAGCCAATACTGGGGAGTATAAATAATTTCGACCTGGACTATAACTAAATATGAAAACTCGCTACGTAGTTTTTCATGGCAACAAATACAAATGTGACGCTGTTTATGGTATATACAGCAGTAGCCGCATAACACTGCTATTAATACTAAAATGATATCATAGAACAAACAAGTATTTTATCACAGGATTCTCATACTTACTTGAACTGCAAAACAAGCGTGTTAAGATCTGAAAAGCACCGATCAAGCATGGGATCTCAACCAGGAAGTAATTTACGCCTAGGTGAATTCTGATTGGACGGATATCGCTCTTTGTTTTCTGATTGGACGACGGCTGTGACTGATTCAAAGACCCTCGATTGGATGGTAACTGAAACTGCAAGCGTTTGTATTTATATTGTATGATAAACTATATTAAAAGTGTGATAAATAATGACGGTTCAGGATTGATAGTGGTTTGTAAATATTTCTCAGTACTAAAAATGCAGCATTACAACTCTATGACATACAATAATAATACAATTATAGTAGGAAACAGACAATTAAATGCAGTGTTGTTACAATGTGGTGTCTGAAAACATAAACGCAGCTAGTAATGAGGATTTAAATTATATGTATCAAACATATATGTATATATATATTATGAATATTAATGATAAGATGAATTATGAACTTAATTAAATAAATGTGGTTGCAGTTGTAGTTCAAAATGTTCAGTGATGTAACAACATATACTACTGTTTTTTACAAAACATCGAATACAGACCACTTGGGGAAAATACATTTTAACAATATGATAATTATATCAACGGGATAATTGTAATGTAAATATTTGTATGAAACAGACACATTATAGCGGAACGTTCCAAACCAGGGTTAAACAGCGACACCGGACACAATTCGATGTTGCACAATGTTGTGTTACATGACCTAACCAAGGTGCATTTGGTAAGAAAAACTTCAGAATCATTGACCTGACGCCGTTTGTCCTAAAACAACAAGGTTTCCGAGATGTACACAACAGCAGGTCGGGTTTTCTCCAGCCTGACACGCGTGGCTTTAATTCAAGGGAAATTCGTTCATAATGCGACACCGACCGTTGGGTGAGTTACCTGTTAATACATCCGCTTATAGGAACCACGTTGACTCTGTCAGAGGGTCGTGGTTCAATAACAAGGGTTTAACTTTAATACATGTTCCACCTTATTTTGTAAACATCATATAGTATGACATGTTGTCATTGTCAGTATATTTCTGCATGGTTGCATCATGTGGGTGGCTGTAGCCTGTTAGCAACATGGAGCTTCCTTATGTATAGTCACACGTTTTGATATCTGTTTACCAAAGATGCAAACCCATACATAAACAAGGTCACACATGTTGATATTCTGCCATGTGAAGGTCTGTCTGTAGGGTTTGAGTCTCACTATTTGGCAGAGGTGGAAGAAGTACTCAGATTATATACCTAAAAACCTACCAATACTACAGTGTAAACATACTGAGTCCTGCATTCAAAATGGTACTTAAGTAATACTAAATAAGTACAAGCATCAACATATACATTTAAGTACCAAAAGGAAAAGTATGCATTATGCAGAATGACCCATTTAAGCACCATGTATTTAAAATGATTGTATTATACTAATTGATGCATTAATGTGTTCATTACTTCAATTCATTACCCATAAATACAAACAAGGTCACACATGTTGTGTGCTATGTAAGCTAAGTTCTGTATAGTTTGAGTCTCACTATTTGGTTAACCCTCTCCATATTGTGTCCTGTCCTGACATGAATTCAGATAGATTCCTCAATAGCTATAAATACATTGCAGTATCAAATTAATATTAGTTTTCTGACAAGCTGCCACTATATGACGATTACTGTCCTAGCAAATGAAAGTACGAGTTATTTTAAAAGTTAATCTCAGTGTACCAGGACCTGCTGAGTCTCTGTGTACTTGTAGAAGTATTTAATATAATATATATATTACATCAGGGGTTTTAATTATCCAAGGTTAAAACACTTGGATAACATATCATAATCGTGGGGGCTGCCAGGATTTGTTGAATAATTTACTGTCAATGGTGCAGCTGCAGGATTCGTCCACAGAGGGCACCATCACTACTTACTACCCTGTACACAATAAATAAACACACATAAAACTAAAGGTGAGAGTATTACACAGACTATTAAAGCGCTACTGATACATGTAATGGACTATATTGGATCAAAAAGAAATGTTGATCCTTAATCAAAATCAAATTAGCCCCTATTAAAACCTTACATTTTATATATAAGTGTTATTTGATTGTGTGAATAACATATTACCGTGAAGTAGGAATTTTCACAATTGAATGTGCATTATTGGGTGGTTTGATTTATAAAAATATGTGTAGGACAGGTATGTTATAATTATAGTTTAGTGCAGCACTAGTAAAGGTTGTAAGTCCCTCGATTGTCCTAACTCATTTATTTTTTTCCTTCTCAGCAAAATGAGCAGTATGCAGTCCCTCGCTCTGAGCTCTCAGAAGTCTGAGTCCAAAGATGGCGCTGATGAGGTGAACAATGAGCCCATCAAGTTCTCCACCAGTAAAGCCAGTCACAGAACTTGGAAAGTCAGACGCTCGCTGGGGGACACCGAGGCCCGCTCCTGGAAGAAGGTCCTGCCTGTCAGCCTGGTGTTCACCGGCCTGCTGCTGTGGGCCGTTCTGAGAGACTCTGGTCTGCAGCTGGACACTCCGCTGCACGTGCATTTACCCAACGCGCTTTCAGACGAAAATAATAAATCAAGTTAACCAATGTGGGACTTGAGGTGTATATATATATTTCTGGCTATATTTATTAACTGTATTTCAAAATGTGGCAGCAGCTTATTGCTCTCGAAATAGATTTAGCAGGGAAGCCGTCCAATGCTACAGAAACTAATGGATTGTTTTTGACCATGCTTTGCCTTTCTATTTTCAGTTGTGGTTCAATGTTTGCTTTAATGTGGATTGAAATGTGTGATTCATGCTAGTTTTGTCTACCTCTTGAAACAATGCAATGTTCAAATCTAGAAATTAATTAAAGTTGAATGGTCATTCAATTACTGTGCATTGGAATTCTGACTTTGCATGCATTTACACTTCCAGCGATGTGCATTGTATTATAAACCCCTGCAGCGCTTATATTTTACTTGTATTGAAGAGACGGGAGAAGACATGCAGCTAACAGTCCCAGGCTGGATTTAAACCCAGGTCCTCCACTTTGGGACCAAATACCTGCTTTTAAATTCAGCTATAATTAGCACAACCTTAGTGTAATAGTTTAAGCACAATTATAAGTTTAAACCATTAAACAGTTAAAAAGTAAGTCAGGCCATAGTTTGAGGTAGCGGAAAGTTTATTTACAGCACAACAAGAAACCCCATGACATGCACACACAGGATTAAAAGGGTACAGATTCTAAAATAGTTTAGCAAACCTGAGAAAGGCAGTGGAATATTTTGTTGTTCAGCATATTACAGTTATGAAGCTCTATTCTACAGTGAATGAGTTGAGGAGAAAGTAAAGAGGGAAATGAAGAGTACAAAAAGGAAAAACATGCCTGAAACTACAAATGACAACGTATGTGGTACACATGCTGGTAATAGTTCCAAGATTTACAAAACAAAACCCGGTCGATCCCAACCCACCCCCCCACTAAAAAGATAAAATACATGAATCATTTATGCACGCTCTCCTCTAATTCGCCTGGCCAGCTGAATGTCCTTGGGCATGATGGTGACCCTCTTAGCGTGAATGGCGCACAGGTTGGTGTCCTCAAAGAGTCCAACCAAGTAGGCCTCACTGGCTTCCTACATGGGGAGAAGAAAAGATAAGTTATATTTTACCAAATGTGCTAGAAGAATCTTTCTAAATATCTAGTTTTCTAAGATCTAGCTTCATCTTACCTGCAGGGCACCAATAGCTGCACTCTGGAAACGCAGATCTGTCTTGAAATCCTGAGCGATTTCCCTCACAAGACGCTGGAAAGGCAGCTTCCTGATGAGCAGCTCGGTGGACTTCTGGTACCGACGGATCTCACGCAGAGCGACGGTTCCTGGCCTACAACAAAAGTATACATTTGTTAAAAACACCCTCAGAACAGAAATAAAGGCCATGTGAAGCAGCATTGTTTCACTCTTGATATGATATCTGAGCACTGATGACCATATGTACCTGTATCTGTGGGGCTTCTTCACTCCGCCGGTGGATGGCGCGCTTTTCCTGGCAGCTTTGGTTGCCAGCTGCTTCCTAGGCGCCTTTCCTCCGGTGGATTTACGAGCGGTCTGCTTGGTACGAGCCATTATTCACCTGCAGTCTGAAAATGAAACAAATGAAACCAAAGCCGAATTAGATTTCATAAAGTAATGTTGATGTCCTCACTTTAATCATTTACAAGACACAATGACTGCCCTGGTGAATTATAAGCCACACTGCAGCAGCTCCACTATTAACAGTCGGTTATGACCTACATCCTAATTCAAACATAAACCCCATTATCACGAGATTTCAGTTTGAATGTTACTGGAGATGACTGTAGAGCCAAGTTAAATGTTTTTAGCGGCAACTCAACTCTCTGGGGACCCTTCCTTATGCAGATGTTGTGTAACCGGGACACCGATGGACTTAATTATACAAAACAAGCCTCTCTAAAGCCGAGCCACCATTAAGCTTCGGGACCTACACACGTTTCTTTGCTGTCGTTGGCTGGCAGATTTAAAGCTAGCACCAACGGTTGCAAAATGGCGCCAGCTAGCTTTCAGTAGCTTAACATCAATACTGAAAACACCGGCAGCCACCTAAGCCATTTTGATAAATAATAACTCCGTGAACCGCTATGTTAGATTGGTAAAATACTTTACTTGATGAATCAGGTCTTTTTTTTAAGTATCTCAAATGTAGCTAACAATTAGCAGTCTGGCTATGGCGCGCTGTTTTGTTGTGAAGTGATCGAAGATTAGAGCTCGTCCAACTGTATTTTAACGGCTCTAAACCACCTGGAAATAAAAACCCAGCTTACAATGTATAACACAATCAAGGCCTAATGTAGCTGTAAAACCATAGAAGTAGTTGCCGCTTTCACGTTACCTTTTGTGTTTATTTTTTCCTGGAAGTTGTTTGTCCTCGTTAAGAGTCGGTTGTCTACAGTGACAGAAAGGAGGGGAAGGCGGTGCTATTTATACTCTGAGGAGCACGCTTGGAGTCCCGCCTCTGAATCAATGGGATTGGTTGTCAATCAAATGCACGAAGACATTTGATTGGTGGAAAAATAAGGTCTGTTGCGAACCGCCAATGAGAATCAAAGAATAAAAGACGAGGGATCAGTGCTTGTGCTAAGGATCCTTATGAATTGAAACATTTGGACATATGATTTGAACAATTAGTACTATTTTATAAATGGAGTAGTCGACCCATGGTGTTGAGTCATTGTTACATTCATTGTAATAACATTCATGAACTCGAACATGTTTCTTACCAGCCCACATAGTTATTGAATTAGCTTTTGGTTTTACATCCATAGGATGTACTACGTTTTCCCTCAAAGAGTGGTAATCATGAAGCTCAAATGCATTTATTTCCTTCAAATTAAGCAAAAGGGAACCCAGCTTCCCTACAAAAGATTTGTAATGTCATGTGTAGTAATGTTTATTTTTAGCATCAATGATTGGTGTGGTCAGTGACAGGTGGTGACGTGGTGACACATTCATCTTGTTTGATTTTAAGTCACAAGTTACATGTCTGATACATTTCGCCACACAGTCAAAGCAGCTTTTGTTTGCTTTAAATTGTTTTTGATTGGTTTACTTTTTTCATTTTTGTATGGCTTACACCTGTTTATATACTCTCTTTTAAGGTTTTTTGAGTTTGTTCTTATTTCTGAGGCTGTGAAAGATAGAAAGATATAAATTAAACTTTTAGAGCATTTTATCATAATTTACCAAAATCTCCTTGTCTTTTTTTATTTTTCATTTATAAAATACATCAAATGCGTCTGTAAAGTCTGTGTCTTTAAGTTTGTATTGATTGAAATAGTGTTTTTTCCAGCAAGCGGAACCATTCGCGCTGGGGAAAGATTCCCAGACGGACCGATTATTGGGTTACACCGCTGGTAAGTTGATGAAAATGAAAAACCTGTTATGAACTCAACATGATATTACGGAAAAGAAATAGAAGTCTATTACAAATGTTTTCTGAAAACTTGAGCCTGTTTCGCTAAGTTTTGTTTATCCCTGAAACGTCGAGGTAAATATTTCCGACCTCTTTCAGCTGAAACCTGCGACTCAGAGAGAATCAGAATGACCGAGCAGAGGCTGCTTTTCATGGGTACATTAAACCTTACAAATCATCGCAGCATGAACTGCATGCTGTTTATAAGATCCTTTCTGTAAATGCATGTGTTCCTCCTATGATTTCAGAACAGCACGATAAGGTTGTGCACAATTACGCATTGCCTGTATTTATTTTTACCGTACATTTTAATTAACATTCGTATATAGTTTCCTTGCAGTTCAACAAACCTAACCATAGATCCGATTTTTCTGAATTATTATAATTTACATTGTTGTAAATAATAATAATGATGATGTGTGCAGTTTCTTTTTTTAGAACATATTTCTTAAATTGTATTTAACTGAAATGAACTTGATTCAGTTGTGGGCTTTAAAGTTGATCATCAATTATGCTTTACATGCGTGTAATGTATAATATAATGAATATATCATTCAACAGATATTGAACCAAAGGCAAACGGCTCCACTCCTGCTGACGACAGAGCTGACAAGCCCATCTTGTCTCCAAGTGACAACACCTTTAAATTTGACTTCCTCTGTGACACATCTCCAGCACTTCAGGAGAAAACCTCTCCATCAGAGGGGACTGAACCAGCAGAGAGTCAGATATCCTTTACAGGACAGAGCTCTGCATTTACCTTCAACTTTCAACTACCTCCTGTGGAAAACATGGACACAACAGAGACCACTTCCTCTACAGGCAGCCAGCCGTGTGTCCAAGAGGAAAAGCCTCCCCTGTTGCAGGAGGTCATCTCTCCCCCGGAGCAATCGGAAGCAAAGCAGAAGAAGAAGAAAAATAAATCTGGGAAGAAAAACCCTGCAGATAAGACAGAGGGACAGAAGACACCAAGTTCAGCTGAGGGGAGTGAAGGAGGCGAGGACACAGCGCTGGTCAGTATGAAGTGATTTCCCTCAAAGTGATCATTGTGTGTCCCAGTGGATATGTGAATTAGATGTTCGTGTGTTTCAGAGTGCGGAGGAGCAGCTGAACAGGCAGCTGGACTGGTGCATCGAGCAGCTGGAGTCAGGAATGATGTCCCAGAAAGGCACACCCAAACAGAGTGAGTCGTTTACCTTCCATCTCACCTGAGGCCTGAAATACGAAGCCGGTTTTTCGCTAACTTCAGGGAAAACTCTGGGTTTGCGGTCCTACGATGCTGGTTCACTTCTTACCGGGCTAGATCTCCATGGTAACTTATGCTGAACGGCTAACCTGCTCCGGAGCAGGTTAGGTTCCAGGATAAGAGATCAACTCAGTGAAAGCACCGCCTGCTGACCAATCAGAGCTCAGTTTGCGGAGTTTAAAGTGATCAAGTCATATTACAGGAGAAAGGAAATTGCCGTTGCAGGAAAGACGGCCGGCAAAAATCACAGACTGTGTCACATATTTCCATATCTGAGTCAGCTTCTTTCATACAAACAGTGCAGCAGAAGCTCTTCACAATAAGGGAAAATAGACTTGAATGACCATAAAAACAGGAATAAAAAGCCATAACTAGGCAACCAGGTCTTAGTGATTGGAACCAGAATCAGAAATCCTTTATACAACCCACAGAGGGGACATTTACAGTGATACAGCAGCAAACAGTGCAGATGAAAGCAAACATAAAATAAGTAGGCCAACATGTTAAATAATTGAGGCGAACACAGATGTAATACAGTCAAATAAATACACAGCCATGATGAAAAATAAGCACAAGTAGCAGCACAATACAGTAAAAGGAGGTGAACTAGCAGCCAAGAAATGATATGAATATACAAAAAAACTACTTTTTCAGATCAACAACAGTTCGAACCACTTGATACAATTATTTCAAAAGGAGGTAAATGCATAAATATAGCATATCTAGATACAGCCCATATGTTAATACCGTATTTTCTCCCCGCAGAGGAGGAAGCCTCTCGAGCCCTGAAGACTCTGCGAAGCACCAAAGCTCCTCTGGCCAAGAAGAGGCAGGTGATGAGAGCCATGACCGGAGATTACAGGAAGAAAATGGAACAGGAGAAAAGCAAGCAGCACAAACTTATCAAAACCGGTGAGTGGATTGTAGCAGTAAAACATATTCATGAACTGTGTAGGGAATGTAATGATATCTCCAAGTGCTGTTAATTGACAGATTTCTCCCATCCCAACAGAGCTTGCATCAGCTAAGGTCAAAGAAGTGTCAGACACTCCAAAGAAGTCTGTTTTCCACCGGAGAGCTGACGTAAAAACCCAGACACCCTCCACAGAGGATAACCTGAAACAAACTGAAGACCTGGATAAAGTCCTGAAAGCACAGACGCAAGAGGAGAAGTCAGATTTTGTCTTTACTCCATCAAAGGAGGAGTTTCACTTCGATTTCATCTGATTTCTACCCTGAAGCCACGTTTCACCATACATGATGAGTAACTGTGACTGTGGGATGCATTGAAGATACACATATACGTGAATCTAAATAAAGTATTTTTTTTAATGTGTGTGTGGTCGTGTTTCGATTGTTTAATTATGTTTTAATTACGTTTTCAAAAATAAAAAAAGGCTTGTTTCTGCTTTGAAAATGTAGATTTGTTAATTAGATCAAATTAATGATACAGTATTGATTTTTAGGGAAATAGAGTGAATTAAAACAAAACAATACATTATCAGGGATGCAAACTTGTCACTTTTCGGCGAAATTCGCCGTTTTGATTCCAAAATAGGTCGTTTGTGTGATTCATGTAGATCTGCAATAAAAATATTTTTGGGGTATGGGACCCGGAGTAATCTGCGGCCGCGAGCTGTTATGTGCCATCATGACACGCATGGTGTTCTTTTTTTATATATTATAATGAAGCGCGAGCACAAGTCTTCCTGCCTGTCAGCTCTGCTCATGGATGTATAATAAGGCTCTGCTGCTCCGGGATGAGGGTCTAGCTTCAGCAGCTACATTACCTACGGTGCGTTCGTTAATATTAACTGTGCGGTCCAGAGTCACTGTGGCACAGACTGGACCGCTGGTTAGAACGGGGTGTTCGGAGCAGCAGAGCGTGATGTGCACTGAAAAGTGTTTCTGTCGCAATATTATTTAATGAATCGTTGAGCTAGCTAACTAGCATACATTGTCACTATCTGCGAACGTTAGCTTTAGCCTTCGTTTTCAAATAGTTTCTTTCATAGCCTATAAACGGAGGTGGTATAAGTATCTTGTACTTGAGTAAAAGTAGAAGTACTCAGATCTTGTTCTTGAGTAAAAGTTGAAGTACTCAGGTCTTGTACTTGAGTACAAGTAGAAGTACTCAGATCTTGTTCTTGAGTAAAAGTAGAAGTACTCAGATCTTGTACTTGAGTAAAAGTAGAAGTACCAGAGTGTAGGAATACTCTGTTACAGTAAAAGTCCTGCATTCAAAATGTTCCTCAAGTAAAAGTAGAAAAGTATTATCATCAAAATATAGTTAAAGTAGCAACAGCAAAAGTAGTCATTGTGCAGATTGGTCCATTTCAGAATAATATTATATGATATGTTTTATAATGATTGATCATGAAAGTGTTCTCAAAGCTGGTAAAGGTGCAGCTAGTTTGAATGACTTTGTATACTGCAGGGTAGCTTGTGAATTTACTCCAGGTGGAACTAAAGTCTGATTTAACACTTGATTATATTTCACATCATTCATCCACATCTGTGAAGTAACTAAAGGTATTCAATACATGTAGTAGAGTAAAAGTACACCATTTACCTCTGAACTGTAGAGGAGAAGAAGAACAAAGTAGCAAAACATTGAAATACTTAAATAAAGTACAAGTATCTAAAAATTTTACCCAAGTATAGTACTTGAGTTTATGAACTTAGTTACTTTACACCACTGGCTATAAAGATAGAAAGACAGCCTTGCACAGAGGCATGAAAAT